AAATACAGTTATTGGTTGCTGAGTACCGAGCTTCATAAAACTGGTGGGTTTTTTTTTTTCAGGACAAACAAGTCATATGGAAGAGAAGACGTGATCTAATTTTTGAACCACGTTTTTTTCTGGTGCTGCACATTATGGCTATACTCAAACATAGAAATGCCGGTATCGTCTAGACTTCCATATGGAGTTTGACGGAGCCTCTGACGTTCTTGGCGTTTATGCAACATAATTATGCTTATCATAAGTGGGTTTTTGTAATGGTTTTTTGTCTTTGCATGGGCATAATAAATTCTGCTCTGAGAACGAAAGATTAGTTTGTGGCTAAAACACTTACGGAATATAAATCCTCTGCATTAAGTTAAGAGAGGAAGAATGGTGACGTAAGATTGCAATCAGTTAAGGTGAAAATAAGTTGACTAAAGACTACTTAGCAAATTGACTACAGTATGTCCCCAAAGAAAACAGGGTCGCCGTGCTTATCAATTTAGTACGGCAGTAGCACGGCCCAGTTTCAAACGTCGTGCTACTTCCGTGTCGAATATAATTTCATTTCGCAGTTGGCCGGCCAAATTCGAATTGAAATTGCATTCGACTCGGCAGTAGCACGCGACGTTTAAAATCACGCGTTGTGCTAGTGTCGTTAAACATTGTTTATAATTAGGAATGCGCATGCTCGCAACGTGTGTACGAGTAAAGAAATAATCAACTAACAAACGCATCAACAAATATCGCGACTTACATGGATAATTTTCAAGAATCGTAGGGTTTGCACACCTGTAAATAGGCCTAAACCTATCCGCTGAGCTCATGAATAAAAGTTATGCCCCCAAATATTCCACATTACAGAGTTCAGAGAGTCATGAAATTGGGGAATTGAAAAGATATGGCAATGAACCTCTGGCCCGGACTTGGGGCTTCCAATACTGAACATTTTGGATGCAATTGTACTCTAAACTGGCGCTTTATTGCAATGTTGTGGAGGTATCGGGTTTTTTTCAAAGATGGCTCAGTATTTTTTCCGCTTTGGAAAAAATAGGAGACGTCTTTTATGGGTGAGAATTTCTCGAAAAGTCAATAGACTATACCAAAAATTGAAAAGAAAATGAACTGATGACATGTTGATCATCATTTTTTTCTGTGCAGCTTAAATACCTGTGAGGGTTCTGAGTATTTAGCATTGGTGTCTATGGGCAGGGGTGCATCCATAGGCAGATGGGGAATTAGCGTAACGTTCTCGTTATGCCTTGACAACAAAAGGACTACAATAAGGCGCACCATAGATTTCCCCCAGGAATAAGTACCCGCTGAAGCAAAAGTCGTTTTCTTCGTGCAACTCTAACTGATCAAGAGCACAAACAATTAGATAAATTCGGGAATTGGCCAGAAAAATACGGAAGACGGACAAACAAGTCATATGGAAGAGAAGACGTGATCTAATTTTTGAGCCACGTATTTTTTGGTGCTACACATTATGACTATACTCAAACATAGAAATGCCGGTATCGTCTAGACTTCCATATGGAGTTTGACAGAGCCGCCGACGTTCTTGGCGATTATACAACATAATTATGCTTATCACAAGTACTTTTTTTATGGCTTTTTTGTCTTTGTATGGGCACAATAAAATTCTGCTCTGAGAACGGAAGATTAGTTTGTGGCTAAAATACTTTCGAAATAATAATCCTCTGCATTTAGTTATGAGAGGAAGACTGGTGATGTAAGATTGCAATCAGTTAAGGCGAAAATTAATTGACTAGACTACTTAGCAAATGAACTACAGTATGCCCCCACAAAGTGTCCGTCTGAATATTTTTGAAATAACAACAAAACCACCGAGTAAATTTTGACAATTTGTAATTGTGCAGAGACTCCTAATCCGTGGCTGAAACCCCTACGAGTGTTATTTTATTTCCTTCACGCCTCACTGCACAATGGTCAATTGACCACAACAACATTTTTGGACAGTGAGACCAAGTTCCTTGCCTTAATCAATTTCAGTCCTGTGTCATGTGAGCTGTGGAAAATCTGTCATGTTGTGAAAAAGAGGCTGATGCGGTTGGGGATTTCGCAACACGGGGGAGGCCTTTAGAAATAACTCTTTGCTAAAAAATGTTTTTCAATGAATTATTCTTCCTGCTTGATATACATGACTATCAATTTGCATTGATAAATTGTGAAAAAACCAACCCATCAACCAAATTATTAAAAGAAAAGAAAATTGGTCGCCGTTTAGGCCAAAAAAAAAGTCTCCGGTTTCTGGTATGCGCGCGCGTCGCCGTAGCCATGCGCGTCGGCAAAATGGAAAAGTTTTTTTTTTCAATGAAAGATGATGTCTCAAAACCGCCAAACTCACTGGTTTGACTGGAATCCTGCTGCTGCACAATTTTAAAGTGTTTTTAGATGGGGTTATGGTCGCGAATAAGCTTCATGTGGCCTCTCTGGACTCCCATATGTTTGCACTCAGTTTAGTCGGGCACCATTTGCAGTCATCAGCCGACATTTATTAAAGCAAAAAAATCAGGTAAAAAAAAAAAAAAGCCGCGTCGCCACACCACTTTTTGGGCAAGCTCCATACCAGAAACCGGAGACTTTTTTTGGCCTTAGTGTTTGCTCTATTTGAAGTTTGTTGCTGCCTCAGCAAATGGAAGACATTATGTAAATTTTGTAAGAGTATTTCTGGCGTTTCACATATGGCTGCACATGTACTCAAAAATAGAAAAAGTATCGGTAGACCTTGGAATCTGCCGGCGCCACCATGTCCCGGGAGTAAATGCAACACATGCTTATCACCTAAAAATACATATTTTTATGTCTTTTTTTGTTTTTGCAATGGTATCATAAAATTTTGCTTTGAGCTAACGAAAGAATCTTTTGTGGTTACACTTACAAAAATAATATTATTCGTCTGCATGTGCAACATATGCTTATATCATCTTAAAATAAATATATTGGGTTTTTTTTTTGGGGGGGGGGGTCTTTGCATTGGCATAATAATATTCTGCTCTTAGCTAACGAAGAATGGTTCGTGGTTATACACTTGCAAAATATTAATCTGCTGCAATATAATACGAGACGAAATATGAGGAATGATGGCAATCAGTTACATTGTACAGGGTGTTTCAAAAAAGGAAACCGAGCTTATTTTGTTGATTTCTCAGGTATGACTAATTATTTAGGAAAATGGTAACCACCATCTGTTACATACCCATTTCTTCTTTTTCTTGACACCACGAACTTCATTTTACCGTCACGGATGACTGAGCACCAAATAATGTAAATGACATGCCAAAAATGGCCTTGTACCACATGCACCATAAGACCAATTGACAGTTATCAGAGAGAGAAATCCTATCCCATTGGAATGGGTGAAAAACCTATAGCCTTGTATAATCTGTAGATATCTGGTTTGCATGAACAGATTTCCATAAACAAAAACTAAGCCCTCCCCCGGTTAAGCCACTGCCGCCACCTCCACAACCACATCAGTCGTCGTCGTCTTCTCTCTATTTGTTTCTTTGGGCGTAAGGGTGACTGCGCGCACTATTTAAGATACGTCAGTAAAAATACAGAGGAAGTCAATCAAATGAATCAAATGACCAGAAATAAAGCGCATAATTATTATTATAACACCTCACCCACAGATTCTGTGTCTTGATTGGCCGAGAGCTAGTCACATGATACTTTCTATTTTTGCTATCTTTCTGTGCATGGCCAAAAGTACTTTACCCGTAGCATGCAACCAAAGTACTATACCATTAGCAACCAAAGTACTTTATCCACGGCGCGGTATTTGTGTGCAAATGCATGCTGTTGTGCGCGTTGCGCGTAACGCGTTTTGTTCCAAAGAGAGCGCGCCACAGAGTTGGGTTCAAACATTTCGTGAAGGGCTAGTTTGGAAGAGAGAAATACATTTTTCACCAATTTTGTATTGAAATTGAAGTTTATTTCAACTGTGTCCAGATTTGAATAATTTAAAATATTAAAACCAAGCAGAATCTGTGGGTAAAGTGTTATAAAACAAATATTGAATGCTTTATCTCGTGGTGAAGTAAAACTAGCCTCCCTCGGTGATCCATGGATCATTCTATTTTCCCTCGGCTTCGCTAGTTTTACTACATCACTCGAAGCATTCAATATTTGTATAGGGACAAAAAAAAAAGTTTCCGGTTTCTGGTATGGAGCTTGTCCAAAAAGTGGTGCGGCGACGCGGCTTTTTTTTTTTTTACCTGACTTTTTTTGCTTCAAATGTCGGCTGATGACTGCAAATGGTGCCCGACTAAACTTAGTGAAAATATATGGGAGTCCAGAGAGGCCACATAAAGCTTATTCTCGATCATAACCCCATCTAAAAACACGTTAAAATTGTGCAGCAGCAGGATTCCAGTCAAACCAGTGAGTTTGGCGGTTTTGAGACATCATCTTTCATTGAACAAAAAACTTTTTCATTTTGCCAACGTGACGCGCATGGCTACGGCGACGCGCGCGCATACCAGAAACCGGAGACTTTTTTTTTTTGGCCTAAAGCCCGGTTCATACTTCACGCGAAAGCTTGTGCGAAGCGAAATTCATGTCGTCAACAATGGTAGACGCGCTTCGAATGTATTGTTGACATCACGAATTTCGCTTCGCTTTCGCTTTCGCGTGAAGTATGAACCGGGCTTCATGGTGACGTGCGTTGGTTTTTACAGTGATGCCCTCACGTTGCAATGACGTATAAGAACACATTTCTACGATTGGTCATTTTACCCTTGTAAAGTGCGACGTCAAAGAGTTCCAAATCTCCACTATTGGCTGCTGGTGAGCAAACAAATCAACTCGCCTCACCTGCTAGAATGGAGGAGGTGGCAATCTCCCCGGAGGGAGGATTAACAGTAATGAGAATGTCTCAATTGGGAGAAAACAACCACAGCACGCCCCAATCGCTACCAGCCATTGCCGTCTCGGGAATAAAGCAATAATAACCCAAGTGGTTGATGTCTCATCACGTGATTGAACACCAACTGCACGTTGGAAAGAAAACGCCGACCAACGGCGTGGTTATAAAGTTTCCACGAGTGGCTGCTAACGACACTTGCTGGAACACACCAATCTTGGAGCTCGCCAGAAACACCTGATTGCATGACAAAAGGTAAGGTCTTGTTGTTGTTATCCTCGTGTATGCCCTGTGTGCTGGACTCGTTTTAATGGACCGAGATGTGTTTGGCAGCACGAGCCGCACCATATGTTTGCCTATACCCTGTATCGTATTATTTTTGCCTCTCGCTTAACAAGTTTGTATGTCTCACTTTTGATATTTATGGGTCATGGATAAAATACTCTCCCACGATATGGAGTGGCCATTTGATACTTAGCAAACGCTGACACGCTGACCAACTTCGATCTCTGCCCTTAAACATTTGCTGGGTGTCTCGCAAAGATTTTGGCAATTCAATTGCAAAGGTCGACATAATTCTCTGACCACCCAGCATCACGCCAGAACGTTTAGCATCGGGTAGAACAAACACTGCTGAGCGTTTTCAAATTGAATTTTGCCCTTCGCCGACGTGAAATCACTAGCACGTTGGTTTATGGTGTAAATCGAGGATTTTCTTTTGTTCCTCTTCCCTTTTCCTTTGTTTATACTAACTTTTTCGCAAAGGCTCTCCATGGTTTTGTACACGTTTTCTAATCGAGGTCGTCCTCGATTTGGTCCCTGTCCTCGATTCAGCGATGATGTTGCACGTGTGTGTTCTCGATTTACACCATAAACAAACGCTGTACCCTGAAAGCTTGAACTCACTGAGAGAAATGTTTTATAGTTTTTGATGGAGGTTGGGAAGAAATGCTTGTTAAATTATTTAGGGGATATCGGCAATAGACACATTTCAAATTAACGTTGAAACCCAGGCTCTCCAGGATAAGCCATTGTATGAATTGAGGACCTTTTCTTTTTTTAATCCTCTCAACAAAATACAGCAATGGGGCCCTCGGCTTCAGTGCTCATTTGAAATTTGTCTATAAGAATAGAGCACACTGTTAAACATGCCCGTAAATTGACTTACTCCGTAAAGTGAAATATTCCGTATTTTCGGCGTAATTATACGGATCTTTCCGTAAATGCAAATTTTAAATATGCTAATTAGCGTGATTACAATCAACCACATCTACCCAATCACCTACACATAACATAGTAAGTTCATATTGATATTCCACCCACAACCGTGTACAAATGTCCCAACTCGTGTTAATGTTCTGTTTATTTTATACGGAATGAAAAACTGTTCCAGAAATGTTGCTGCCGGAACGTTTCGTTTTCCGCAGCAAAATTTCCGGGTCTTTTTTCGTTCTGTAAAATAAACAGACCCTTAACACGAGTGTGGACATGTGTACCCGGTTGTGGGTGAAATAACAGTACTATATTATGCGTTACCTGCACCTACATTCCCGTAGGTTTGTGCACTAACGTGTATTTTTGTGTCCGTAAAGTAACATTTTTGACCAGTAGTAATTGTGTCTCAAACAAAATTCAATAATCAAGCTGGATAGTCACCTCGAAGTTTGCTTCATTTTTACCTCGTACTTGAATTATTTAATATAAATTGTGAAATGTTTGAATGGATGATTTTAGATATGTCAATATTATTATCCTTTTTGGATGAGAACAATTTACTTGGAATACATTTTATATGTATGACTTTTAATGACAATAATAATGCCCCTGAAAACTTGAAGATGCGTTTTCGATTGTTCATTCTGAATACATTGGCGGATAGAAGGATGGGTTGAGGGGTATATACAGATGATGGGTGTGATTGTTGTGTATATTTCGAAAAAGCATGGGGAACATTTGATCTCAATCTAACAGCGTATGTCATGTCCTTAGGAGGGACAATGAAGAACAAATGTTTTGGGTGTTGCCCTTAAAGACTGCCTTGAATTTAACTTTAAGGACAACGCAACAAGTACGAGAAAAAAAGACGTTCAAATGATCATTATTCTGTAAGTTGATGAAGGTTAGGGGGCAATATACATACTCTGTTTTAATTCTGAAGCATAAAGGCCAAAAAAGTTTCCGGTTTCTGGTATGGAGCTTGCCCAAAAAATGGTGCGGCGACGCGGCTTTTTTTTTTACCTGTTTTTTTTTGCCTCAAATGTCGGCTGATGACTGCAAATGGTGCCCGACTAAACTTAGTGCAAATATAATTACGGGAGTCCAGAGAGGCCACATAAAGCTTATTCTCGATCATAACCCCATCTAAAATCACGTTGAAATTGTGCAGCAGCAGGATTCCAGTCAAACCAGTGAGTTTGGCGGTTTTGAGACATCATCTTTTATTGAAAAAAAAAACATTTTTCATTTTGACGACGCGCATGGCTAGGGCGACGCGCGCGCATACCAGAAACCGGAGATTTTTTTTGTTGGCCTGGGAAGAGAGAAATATATTTTTTCACCAATTTTGTATTGAAATGAAAGTTCAAATATATCAAATGTCAAGGATCTTTTATGTCAGTTATATAGAACAAATATTGAGTGGCTTTAAAATGTGAAATGGGAGGAATATTATCGCTCAGTAAAATCTGGACTTTTCCAGTACACTCGACTTCGCCTCGTGAAATGGAAAAGTCCAGATTTTGCCTTGCGATAATATTCCTCCCATTCTTCGCTGATCCACTCAATAATTGTATACCATACAAACCTACGGAAAAAAAGTGCTCGTAACGCAACTTTTGCCCCACGCGCTGAAAATGGCGCCGCCGATGACAGAACGCGATATTTTTTATTACACAACTATCTGGGGTACTTTGTGCGCTTTCCTATGGGGCATGGTTTTAATAACCAGGCTTGTGTGGAGGCTACTATTTTTCAACTTGGTGCGGATTTCGGACTTTATTTTCCTTTTTAAAAAAATCCTCCAGAGCCTCGGATCAGAAAAGAAAAAGAAAATTGCTGCTATACAAGTAGTATCCGACTGAAAAATAACGTTTCTAAGATAAAACTTGACATTTTTGAAAAAAAGAGCAAAACTTGCACTATGCAAAGCAGGGAGTCGAACTCGGGACCTCTGATCGTTAGCCAGCATGCCTAACCACTAGGCAACGGCGGTGCTCGACCAATCTAAGCAATTCCTAAATTATATACTTTCACACACGTGGAGAGAGTATACGCGCGCGCGTAGGTAAAAGGTTACAGGGCAAGTCGCCTGAACAATTGTCACCCTGTACTATTGTGTAAATAAAAAATTCGCTGGCTGGACACGTACGCTTGTGTACGCACTGCCGATCTAGTCTTCATAGATATAGAATAAAAAGACTAGATCGGCAGCGCGTCCACACGCGCCCATTCACTGTGCGATAAATCTCCGCCATTTTTATTGTTTAAACATCTCGTGGACGCGCAACAAATCACTGATCTCTCAACCTCGTCCCCAGTGCTCACTTTATTTCCAACCTTGTTTTCAATAGTAAACCCTGGATAGCAAACTTTCTTCCTGTATCCTGATTCGATACCGCAATTGGCTAGTAATGGATTTTTATCGTGTGCTTGGTGCTATTATTCACAACGTTGAGTACGTGTTTTCGCGATCATTCGTCCACGCCTTCTCGAAAATACTAATTTCCTTTCCAATTTGCTCATATTAATCTGAAATATGATACTGCATGTTGTCTCGATAAGATCGTAATAGTTTAATTTTAAAAATCGTGTTTTCGTTACTCACGCCGTGCTCGCGCTGCGACAAATTGGCTCTGTTTTTACCCCAGACACCGCATACAAAAACAAACGTTAATGTAACGCATTATCCAGGCACCAGACTGTTGCTCATTTGCATACGTGTTCAAAAATCTTGCACATGCAAATGATCTCTCTCAGGGTGAGAGAGCAGGTAGTGATGGGCGCGTACTGTTCGACACCCAGGGGACGAGGTTGCTGATCTCTATATAAAGACTGGATAGCGGATAAAGAGCCGCACAATGAATGCATTTGACGCCATATTGGTGAGACCGGTGAGACCGGCTGGTGATCTACAAAGGACAAGTTGACGTCTTTATAGGCATCATGATCACTTTTGTAACATCGCGGTTCACTTGAATTTTTATTTTGACCACCACCACTGACCACGGTTTACAATTTTTCTAACGTCGTGGTTTACTTTTTTTTTAAGCCGGAGTTCCTTTATCGACGTTTTGGAAATAATAATCAGTGCTGAAATGTGTCCTTTTTAGAACATCATAATTCGTGTACGTGACCGAAATGCGCATCAACTTTCGCGTAGAACGTTCGTATCAACCTCGTGCCCCGTGGGTACGATCTTGCAGCGCCATGTTGTTTACCATTATGCCTTGCGCGATCGTAACCCCTGGAATTGTGTAATTTAAATATACCAAAATACGGTACATTATAATTAGGGCTGCAGTTTATCCGTTTTACGTGCCGACGCCATCTTTAAAATGTTTAAAGTTGTGATTTTGAAGAATCAATCCTTTCAAACACAACGTTTGGACGTTGTGTTAATTAGCAAAGATTTGTATTAAATGTACGTACCCCTTTCGTGCCTTTACAACCACAGATACATGGGTTTTTTTAGCGAAAAACGCGGCTGACATAATCCATATCGTACAGGCATCGCGACTTTTGAATCATAATTATTTTTTTCGTACGTGACGTTACGTGCAAAGCTAAGCTCGCGAGCGCGAGCGCATTATGGGCGCGCCCGGCGTGCAATCTTCGAAATGCCCGCGCAGTACGCTGTGAATAGCCATTCAGCGTCATTTACGTCATCATCACAGCCAGGGGTTAGTGTAAGGAACGAGCACGCGCCCCTGGAGTCGAGGCTGCGTTCGTATATAAGCGGCCATCTTCGTGAGACCGGGGCGAATTGGTCAATATGCAAAGTCTACTGTGTGACTGGTGTATGGATATCCGCTATCCAGTCTTTATATAGAGATCAGTGCAACAAATTAACGTAAAGTAATGAAGCTAAATGTATCTTTCCTCCAGCACGTGACCAAGCTCAACGCGCGTGAAGCAAGAAATGCACACCGAGTATAGTTAGTGATAATGGTGCACTGTGCACGTAAACGTCGTTGTGTTCGTCACGTTTTCGCGCATTTTGTATCTTTCCTCCAGCACGTGACCCTCCATGAAAGTCCGCGCGTGTGGACGCGCTGCCGATCTAGTCTTTTTATTCTATATCTATCACTGATCTCTATATAAAGACTGGATAGCGGATATCCATACACCAGTCACAGTAGACTTTGCATGTTGAACAATTCGCCCCCGGTCTCACGAAGATAGCTGCGTATAATACGAACGTTCAGCGCGTAAATACGCGCGCGCTGTATCAACAGTTGACGCGCACTTAGTCACGTACACATATTATGATGTTCTAAAAGGGACACATTTCCGTAGTGATTATTATATCCAAAACGCCGAAAAAGTGAAGTGCGGCATTAAAAAAGTAAATCACGTCGTTAGAAAAATTGTAAACCTTGGTCAGTGGTGGTGGTGGTCAAAATATAAGTCAAGTGAACCGCGATGTTACAAAAGAAATCATGTTGTATATAAAGACGGCGACTTGTCCTGTGTAGATCACCAGCCGGTTTCACCGGTCTCACCAATTTGGCGTCAAATTCATTCATTGTGTAGACTTGGCCTAGTCTGGGTTGCGCTCGGTCTGAGCCTATAATAGTAAATCCACTCACAGCGCATATCGCATACTAACAGTACATAACGCGCGCCCTCATGCGTCGAATCCGGACCATCATGTTAAAAACGTACATGTACATGTTATTTTCAAGTGATGCAGCAACCCAGATTGATCAAGTCGGAATTGCTAACTTTTGCACCACATGTATGCACATGCTGTGCAATACATGCACACACATGTACGTGTAATACGCGTGTTGTACAATGTACATACAGTGTGTGCGCATTGTTTTACGGCACTGAAGTGGAACGCGCGCTGAAGTGTACCTTGTCACTGCTTGTCGGGCTTCTGGAAAGACGTAAACTAAGTGATTGTTGCTACTTTTTAAAAAAATTAAGATACCGACTTAAGGCAATTCCGACTTGAGTCAAGTCTATTAATTGTGCGGCTCTCTATTCGCTATCCAGTCTTTATATAGATACAGATACGCGCTTAGGACAGTACATACATTGAAATACAAAACACAAATTTTTGAGTTAAAAAAGGCTTTACTCACAATTTAATTGAACAAAAAAAAGTGTGCTCGTTATTGTTTTTCAATCCACCGAAGTCATACTAAATACACAAGGGTTTCTTTTTACAATCGGAAAATAACTTCATAGATGTTTTACTGGGTTAGTTCAATGGTGTGAAAACTCCCTGCACAGAGTGGTGATTTTGCCCATAGTTTTGATTATAGTCGGGCGCCGCGCAGATCACGAAATGCGTGTGTAGTTGTGCCGTGGAAAAAAAATCGAAGGGGGCTGAACATCATTTGACGTTTGGTGCGCTGTTCAAAATCAATTCATGTACGTGTTTATGTGCGCTTTAGGGACATTTCCAAGGGTTTCCAGTCTTAAAATTTTGACTTCGAGACCCTTTTTTCCTTTTTCCTTTTTTTTTACCTTAATTATCTTGGTCGGCGGGGAAAACTGGGAGGCAAGGAAGACAATTGGGGGAGGGGAATCCCCTAGCTCCTAGCTCCGCCAATGACGACTGAACTGCGATATATTTTTCCCTTTCCGTAATAGCACCATGAAGTTAGGACTTTTGGAAATGATCTGAACCATTTCCCCCTCCAATGCAGGTGATTTAAACCAACAATGGCATCCCGCACGTTCCTGCTGATCCTGTCCGTTGCCACTTTAATGGTGGTTGCGCTTAGCGCTGGGAACGAGGACGACACCGAGGCGCTCTTTGAGCTGTACGAGGCAATGGCGAAGAGGGGGCGAGGAGGATCCTCAAGAAGTGAGTCTGAGAAAGAAAGAAACGGATGGAGTTAGCTGATTAGCAGAAAAACAAACTTTTGAAATTGTGGTGATAATTGACGCTTCAGCAAGGATCAATGTTCTTTCGTCAATAAGCCTCAATACTGATTAGTGATGACGTCACACTTTGTTTACTTGTGCCCTTTTCTACGGGGCTACGAAACCGTCGTCCCCACCCCAGGTAACATTCCCAGATGGGGCGCGGCCAATATGCCAATTATCTGGGCACACACATTATAATGCATGCCCATATGGGTGCCCATATTGGGCCCATCGGGGCAGATACAGCTGTCCACAACTTACCAATACGAATCCCCTTTGAATACAATGAACGAAAACTTAGAGGCGGTGTATTTTGATAAAAACTAGAGCATTTCCGTCTTGCTAGCTGTCATTGAGTCTGCGTCTTAGCCAACCAATGCAGGACTCCATGAGGCAGTTATTTATTCGCAAGAGGGCATCGTTCATGCTCTGAGAGTCCCTTGCAACAGCATCGAAGGCAATAGTAGTAATAGCATCCTACTGTGCAAAAAACCGTAACACGGCTGAGGCTTAACATGCAAAACAGAAATGGGTAAGCAAATTTAAAGAGTTTAAAATTTGAGCCCTATTATAAACTGCAACACAACCTAAACAAGTTCTTGGATTTGTTAATTTGTTTCCACAGAATGTTATCACGAGGGGATGACGTGCCTATGCGACTATCGGTTAGGTCCAAATGATCCCCAACGTTACACGAACTGTGTGCATTATTAGGTATGTATACATACGATTTTGATACAGACGCTAGCTTGGTGGAGTCATTTACCAATGTTTACGTTGACCCAGGCGCAGTTCTACCGGCGGGGGGGGGGGGGGGGGGGGGGGGGGGGGGGGGGGGGGGGGGGGCCTTTAACCCCCCCCCCCCAAAGCCTATCACCCCCCAAAAAAAATCCTTAAAAAACATTCGTGAGAAGGAGCATTTGTACACGATCATTCGTCCACGCCTTCTCAAAAAAATTCCTTTCCTTTCCCAATTTGTTCATATTAATATGACATGTGATACTGCATGTTGTCTCGATAAGATCGTAACAGTTTAATTAATACGGGCGATTCACAATAGTGCGCCTCCAAGAGTTTGCAACGCGTTGGCCAATCACAATGCGCGAAATCTGTCGACCTTTTCTAGTCTGGTTCCCAGACCAAAAGATTCTGACTATTCTTGATGAATCTTAGGTCAGGCAGCCTCCGCGGCTAAAAATAAACATTACGACATTGATGGTCCTTTTTCAAAGCTCGGCTTCCGATTTCGCTTTATCACTTTTAGCTTTTAATGTTCGATCAGATCAAATTTTTAAGTAAATCACTTGCTTCGTAATATCATACAGTTATGATAATACAGTTTGATGTTTCTGTAAGATATCATTGACTAATGTTGATCTGGAATCTTCAAAATTAGGCACCTAAATAGCACTGTTAGCAGGCGAAGCCGAATGAAGACCGAGTTTTGGAAAATCTCAGTAACGGTCGTCAAATTCAAAATTGTACATGACGCAGCAAAAGGTTCGCCCATACGATCCGAGTATATTTGATGCACAAAATCGTCGTTGAATTTCAAGTTTTCTAAATGAAAGCAATGAATCAACTCATTAAAAAAAAATTAACAAGCAATAAGCAGTTAATTAAACCTATATTATATTCGGAAATACTCGGGCGCTATCCGATTGTCGACGAAACGAATTCGGCAAACTTCGGAAATTTTCGGAAAAAGGAGGAATTCCTCCCGTTTTAGTCACGTGACGTAAATTGTAATACAATGTATTACCGGAGGCTGCCGGACCTAAGATTCATCGAGAATAGTCAGAATCTTTTGGTCTGGGAACCAGACTAGACCTTTTCCAAACGCGCATTGGGTCGACAGATTTCGCGCATTGTGATTGGCCAACGTGTTGCAAACTCTTGGAGGCGCACTATTGTGAATCGCCCGTATTAAATCGTGTTTTCATAACTTATGCTGTGCTCGTGCTGCGACGAATTGACTCTGTTTTTACCCCAGACACTGCATACAAAAACGAACGATAATGTAACGCACATGCAGGCACCAGACTATTCCTCATTTGCATACGTCTTAAAAAAATCTTGCACAAGCAAGTGATCCAATACCAGGGTGAGAGAGCAGGTAGTGGTGGGCGCGTACTGTTCGACACCCTGGGGACGAGGTTGGGGCCGTATCATGAGTCCGACGCCTCATAGTTGCCTCATAAGTCCGATATTTCGGACTTATGAGGCGTCGGACTTATGAGGCATAAATTTGATTTATTCCGCCTCATAGGTCCGACGACTCATAAGTCCGACGTCGGAAAAAAAACCAAGGCGTCAGATCTATGAGGCATCAGAGCTATGGACCGTTTAGAAAAGGTTAATTTGTCAGACAAGGCAAGAACGAGATTTAAAAACAATAACATAAAAATGTGCATAGCATGGACTACTGGCCGCAAATCAGTCCACCAGCGCGCAGTTTGTGGCGCAAGGGTTGATGCTACGGGCGTAAATCCGGGGGGGGGGGGGGTCTGGTGCGTCCCTTAATGTCAATGTGTAATCGCTAACTCTAACAATTAGAGGCGCTAACAGTCTGACATTTTACGCAATATTTGTATTAATTAATAATGGCTGTCGGACTTCTGAGGCGTTGGACTTATGAGGCGTTGGACCTATGAGGAAAAATACCAGTCTACATTTCAGCACGCTCCTAGCCTTTTACCAAGGCCATCGTGGGGGGGGGGGAGGGGGGTGGGGGGAGCCTTTAACCCCCCCCCAAAGCCTATCACCCCCCAAAAAAATCCTTAAAAAACATTCGTGAGAAGGAGCATTTGTACACGATCATTCGTCCACGCCTTCTCAAAAAAATTCCTTTCCTTTCCCAATTTGTTCATATTAATATGACATGTGATACTGCATGTTGTCTCGATAAGATCGTAACAGTTTAATTAATACGGGCGATTCACAATAGTGCGCCTCCAAGAGTTTGCAACGCGTTGGCCAATCACAATGCGCGAAATCTGTCGACCTTTTCTAGTCTGGTTCCCAGACCAAAAGATTCTGACTATTCTTGATGAATCTTAGGTCAGGCAGCCTCCGCGGCTAAAAATAAACATTACGACATTGATGGTCCTTTTTCAAAGCTCGGCTTCCGATTTCGCTTTATCACTTTTAGCTTTTAATGTTCGATCAGATCAAATTTTTAAGTAAATCACTTGCTTCGTAATATCATACAGTTATGATAATACAGTTTGATGTTTCTGTAAGATATCATTGACTAATGTTGATCTGGAATCTTCAAAATTAGGCACCTAAATAGCACTGTTAGCAGGCGAAGCCGAATGAAGACCGAGTTTTGGAAAATCTCAGTAACGGTCGTCAAATTCAAAATTGTACATGACGCAGCAAAAGGTTCGCCCATACGATCCGAGTATATTTGATGCACAAAATCGTCGTTGAATTTCAAGTTTTCTAAATGAAAGCAATGAATCAACTCATTAAAAAAAAATTAACAAGCAATAAGCAGTTAATTAAACCTATATTATATTCGGAAATACTCGGGCGCTATCCGATTGTCGACGAAACGAATTCGGCAAACTTCGGAAATTTTCGGAAAAAGGAGGAATTCCTCCCGTTTTAGTCACGTGACGTAAATTGTAATACAATGTATTACCGGAGGCTGCCGGACCTAAGATTCATCGAGAATAGTCAGAATCTTTTGGTCTGGGAACCAGACTAGACCTTTTCCAAACGCGCATTGGGTCGACAGATTTCGCGCATTGTGATTGGCCAACGTGTTGCAAACTCTTGGAGGCGCACTATTGTGAATCGCCCGTATTAAATCGTGTTTTCATAACTTATGCTGTGCTCGTGCTGCGACGAATTGACTCTGTTTTTACCCCAGACACTGCATACAAAAACGAACGATAATGTAACGCACATGCAGGCACCAGACTATTCCTCATTTGCATACGTCTTAAAAAAATCTTGCACAAGCAAGTGATCCAATACCAGGGTGAGAGAGCAGGTAGTGGTGGGCGCGTACTGTTCGACACCCTGGGGACGAGGTTGGGGCCGTATCATGAGTCCGACGCCTCATAGTTGCCTCATAAGTCCGATATTTCGGACTTATGAGGCGTCGGACTTATGAGGCATAAATTTGATTTATTCCGCCTCATAGGTCCGACGACTCATAAGTCCGACGTCGGAAAAAAAACCAAGGCGTCAGATCTATGAGGCATCAGAGCTATGGACCGTTTAGAAAAGGTTAATTTGTCAGACAAGGCAAGAACGAGATTTAAAAACAATAACATAAAAATGTGCATAGCATGGACTACTGGCCGCAAATCAGTCCACCAGCGCGCAGTTTGTGGCGCAAGGGTTGATGCTACGGGCGTAAATCCGGGGGGGGGGGGGGGGGTCTGGTGCGTCCCTTAATGTCAATGTGTAATCGCTAACTCTAACAATTAGAGGCGCTAACAGTCTGACATTTTACGCAATATTTGTATTAATTAATAATGGCTGTCGGACTTCTGAGGCGTTGGACTTATGAGGCGTTGGACCTATGAGGAAAAATACCAGTCTACATTTCAGCACGCTCCTAGCCTTTTACCAAGGCCATCGTGGGGGGGGGGGGGGGAGGGGGGGTGGGGGGAGCCTTTAACCCCCCCCCAAAGCCTATCACCCCCCAAAAAAAATCCTTAAAAAACATTCGTGAGAAGGAGCATTTGTACACGATCATTCGTCCACGCCTTCTCAAAAAAATTCCTTTCCTTTCCCAATTTGTTCATATTAATATGACATGTGATACTGCATGTTGTCTCGATAAGATCGTAACAGTTTAATTAATACGGGCGATTCACAATAGTGCGCCTCCAAGAGTTTGCAACGCGTTGGCCAATCACAATGCGCGAAATCTGTCGACCTTTTCTAGTCTGGTTCCCAGACCAAAAGATTCTGACTATTCTTGATGAATCTTAGGTCAGGCAGCCTCCGCGGCTAAAAATAAACATTACGACATTGATGGTCCTTTTTCAAAGCTCGGCTTCCGATTTCGCTTTATCACTTTTAGCTTTTAATGTTCGATCAGATCAAATTTTTAAGTAAATCACTTGCTTCGTAATATCATACAGTTATGATAATACAGTTTGATGTTTCTGTAAGATATCATTGACTAATGTTGATCTGGAATCTTCAAAATTAGGCACCTAAATAGCACTGTTAGCAGGCGAAGCCGAATGAAGACCGAGTTTTGGAAAATCTCAGTAACGGTCGTCAAATTCAAAATTGTACATGACGCAGCAAAAGGTTCGCCCATACGATCCGAGTATATTTGATGCACAAAATCGTCGTTGAATTTCAAGTTTTCTAAATGAAAGCAATGAATCAACTCATTAAAAAAAAATTAACAAGCAATAAGCAGTTAATTAAACCTATATTATATTCGGAAATACTCGGGCGCTATCCGATTGTCGACGAAACGAATTCGGCAAACTTCGGAAATTTTCGGAAAAAGGAGGAATTCCTCCCGTTTTAGTCACGTGACGTAAATTGTAATACAATGTATTACCGGAGGCTGCCGGACCTAAGATTCATCGAGAATAGTCAGAATCTTTTGGTCTGGGAACCAGACTAGACCTTTTCCAAACGCGCATTGGGTCGACAGATTTCGCGCATTGTGATTGGCCAACGTGTTGCAAACTCTTGGAGGCGCACTATTGTGAATCGCCCGTATTAAATCGTGTTTTCATAACTTATGCTGTGCTCGTGCTGCGACGAATTGACTCTGTTTTTACCCCAGACACTGCATACAAAAACGAACGATAATGTAACGCACATGCAGGCACCAGACTATTCCTCATTTGCATACGTCTTAAAAAAATCTTGCACAAGCAAGTGATCCAATACCAGGGTGAGAGAGCAGGTAGTGGTGGGCGCGTACTGTTCGACACCCTGGGGACGAGGTTGGGGCCGTATCATGAGTCCGACGCCTCATAGTTGCCTCATAAGTCCGATATTTCGGACTTATGAGGCGTCGGACTTATGAGGCATAAATTTGATTTATTCCGCCTCATAGGTCCGACGACTCATAAGTCCGACGTCGGAAAAAAAACCAAGGCGTCAGATCTATGAGGCATCAGAGCTATGGACCGTTTAGAAAAGGTTAATTTGTCAGACAAGGCAAGAACGAGATTTAAAAACAATAACATAAAAATGTGCATAGCATGGACTACTGGCCGCAAATCAGTCCACCAGCGCGCAGTTTGTGGCGCAAGGGTTGATGCTACGGGCGTAAATCCGGGGGGGGGGGGGGGGGGGGTCTGGTGCATCCCTTAATGTCAATGTGTAATCGCTAACTCTAACAATTAGAGGCGCTAACAGTCTGACATTTTACGCAATATTTGTATTAATTAATAATGGCTGTCGGACTTCTGAGGCGTTGGACTTATGAGGCGTTGGACCTATGAGGAAAAATACCAGTCTACATTTCAGCACGCCTCCTAGCCTTTTGCCAAGGCCATCGTGGCTTAACTTGCCCGCATTCAAAGCGGCGAAACTGCGACTGGGCCTTTTCTAACTTGTCGAGAAATTCTAATGTTTTTCTTTATAATCTTAATTTTGGTTACCCCTAAAGGGTAGCAAAATTCCAACCAATCATCAACCTTTTCGTGCGTGCGTGCGTGCCTTGATACTCGGACGCGTCGACGCGCCCGGATGCTTGCACAAAATTTTAAAACAAAAAATGCGAGTCTAGTTTTCCACGAGATCGTGACAGCGTAATTGTTCTTACATTATCTTATTTTAACTTTACTTACAAAAGTATTTCAAGAAATTATTTGATTGTATGAACTTATTTTTCATCTGAACCTACAGTGATTTGCTCTTGCGTTTTCCTTACTCACCCTTCTTTTAAAAATGGAAGCGACTAGGCAAAATACGCGTTGTGATTGGTTAAACTTATTTGCATAAAACATGAATAATTCAACAAAATCAAGTTGAGAAAGGCCTCGTGGCTTTGCCACTGGTGCTAGCTGACTTAATCTTTGCTCAAGTCGCTTCGGGTCTTCGTAACTCCGCCGCTCCAAGGCACGATGGCCTGGGCGAAAGGCTACACGCCTCCCTGCAAAAAAATCTCATATAGCTGTTTCGGGTCGGTTTGTGTGGACGTCGGTTTGTGTGGACGTTGCTTTTAACATACCTATATGCCCACCATACCGGAAGCAAGACAAGAGCAAGTGTTGGAACTATACCTAGGGGGAAACAGAAATTGCCACGATCGTTATTTTTGCGAACTTGAGCATTTGCAGACAGTATTATCCAATAGGCTCACTGTGCCTAGGGCCTACGAAAAACTCGGGGGCTTACGAACAATTTGAGGGCCTACGAAAATATCACAGTGTTGCCTGGCTTGCTTAGCTAAGCAGCAACATGAAATTGGTGCTGATGGTATACCTATATGGTGCAGTAGGGCATACCGAACACCACAGGGTGTGCCCACAAATGCAGCACTCAGAAAACAAATCATTAAAACGGTTCAATGTTTGTTTGTTTTCTTTTCTTTTCTTTTTTTCTTCAACGAACCACGGGAATGACAGCAGGGCGCTACTTCGCTTCAAATTGGCCACTACCAAGATGAATTCGAATGCTTTTTTTTGGCGAAATTGGCCGGGAAAACCTATAGCATACATAAAGACATAATTTCCACTTTGCCGCGCAGTGTTGGAATTCCCACTTTGCCCTTGGCAAATTTCGAATTTACCCAGATTCCCACATTGCACGTGACACACCCTTGAGTATTTATTACACATCCCCTAGATATCTCAAGAAGATTCCATAGATTCCGGTAACACAATGACCAACACAAAATAATGTTGCACATTTTTTTGAAGGTTGCACCTTTTTTTTGCACGCTCTGTATCTGGAACGCTACCGGCGGTGAATTCGCAGATGTTGAAATACAAAGAAATTCCTCAGTAAAAGGAACTCGGGAAAAAAAACCTCAGATTCGAAACTGTGTCATAATGGAAGTAAAACAAAATATACAAAGGATTTTGTTCTTTTGTTTTTTTCCTCAGGCTATGGGATATTGGGACTCTAAGCTGTCTGGCCATTGATTTTTCTCTAGCTGGCTAACTCGGATATTGATAAATCTCCGGTCTAGCTGTACCCGTAGCTGAGTTGTATCAGATCTAAACACTTTCAGCTTGGCTTCTCTCGATCAATCGATGTCGTAGAGCTGATGAGACGGAAATGAGATTTCCAAGTCCAATCCCCGTGAACGAAAAAAAACCCACACTTTGCATCGAGTCTTATTAGAAGAATAACACTTTGATGTGTTTATGGTTAGTGTGCGCCAAAAATCCTCTGTGGAATCCTTTCAGCCTGGGGAACCGGTGTGCATTGCTGAGAGAAAAATATAGTCTGGTGCCCTGGCATAACGATCCCTGACGTTTCTTAAATCTATGTCTGATACACAATAAAAACAAATAAAAAAAAAGTCAAAAATGACACTTTTCAGTGTCGACATTGACACTTTTTCTTGTCAAAAATGTCACTTTTCCGGGTCCAAAATTACATATTTCCGTGTCAAATATGACACTTTTCCTTGTCAAAAATGTCACTTTTCCTTGTCAAAAATGACACTTTTCCGGGTAAAAAATGACACTCTCCGGGTCAAAAAATACACTTGTTTGTAGTCATTTTTCCACGGAAAATTGTCATTTCTGACCCGGAAAGGTGTCAGGCCAAACAGGACCCGGATTCCGGGTCAATCCGACATGGGATTTGTTTGTACAATGTAAACCATTATCAGAACAGCAAAGTTTAACTTTGCTGTTCTTAGCATTGGCATTCTTTTTGTCGTTACACCTGAACAAAAAAAAAAAAAAACTGTGGATGATTTTAATGTATTCTCTGTTTTCCCTTTTTATCGTCAACAGCATAAAAGAGGAAAGAACGACCGTGACAACAACAACACGCACTCGCTGCAAAACATTGGTTTAATCTACGGCGTGTCCAAATAAACATTGTGCATGAAGAAACGGCTCTATTTCTCACAAAATTAGTGACGTTGATTTAGTTATTTTAAGAATTGCTAGGCGCGAAGTCATATTCATAACTGCATGGTGAAATCCCCACGATAATCTGTCGATGCTAGCTTGACTTGATAGAGGCCTTTGTAAAACTGATTTTGCTCCATTCAAAAAAACTGAACATTGTCCGGTCAGCTGTCAAAAGGTATTTTGTGCCTTCAAAACCAATTTGTAAGACTTAGCACCTGACACTAAACATTCCTATTGTACAGCAGTATTTGCTGTGCCACCAAAACCCTTTATTGTGTGATATCCATCCAATGGGGGAAAATGAATAGTATTTTAAGAGCTGTGATATATCTGGTTTTCATTCACGGTTTTCATGGGAATTTGAGTAGTTGAAGACATGATTATATACTTTGCAGAGCTTTAAAAATTGAAAATCTATTATTCCTATTTTTGTGATGAATTTAATGATTTTTTCATGCAGAATGTGTATTGGGACACGATGTATTCCGGAAAATACCCGAAGACACAAAAATGACGGCTGACAGGTTGCATGTTATTTAATTCATTTACAGAAGAAAAGAAAGTTATAATTTCAGGTGGATGGTGGGACATTATTTCGTTTCCATTATTAGTTTTCTCTTGGTGTTGGTGTTTTGTTCTTTCACGTTGGTTTGAATTGTATTGATAAACATGTGGCCTTGGAAAAAATAACATGTTATTAAAAAAATACAGAATACGAGTTCAATTTTATATATATTAAAATACATATTTTGTTCCAACGAGGAGACAGATTCAGAGAAGCGTTCTTGTTACAGAACTTCCATTAAAATCTGGTAATTTATATTGGTACGAAATGAGACCTATACCTCTGTTTAATATTCTAAATATGAAATAGACTAGAGTATGAATAACGGCACTGTTCATTAATAATGAACCTCCAGTTTGCCACTAAAAGTGGGAACAGAGCATGCGCAATCCGGACCGCCTTATACATGAACACATTGGTCGAATCAGCATCGCTTATTGACGATTCCTTAATTACAAATTTCATTGCAGGTATTTCTGCATGATACAGACGCTTTTGTTTTCAGTGGTGGGGCCTCATTTGCAATTCGACAACAGAACTCCAAAGAAATTCACGGCCTTCATTTTACACCAATTTGAATAAAACCAGATTGTTGTGCTCTTGAGACATTGAGATCACTCTGTAGCATCTCTGTTCTTCTTTTTTTTCAGTATTGTGTCAAATCTCACTTCACTCAGTTTTCTTTTACTAATTGAAAACAATGATTGAGGTGACAAAATCAGTTTTATCATTTTATTATTTATTTGAGTATGATTTTTTTTTTCCATTTAAAGACATCGGTACATGTTGTCATGATTATAATCCAATACATGCAATAAATCTAGTGTTGAGAGACAATTTCATTCTGTTTGCAGGAGTTTAGATGATTTTTTTTAAATGACAATTAATGGGGCCATCATGCCCTCAGACGCAAACTGGTAAAACTAAAAACTTAGAATACTCACAGGTATTCAAGCTGCACAGACAAATGATGATCAACGTGTCATCTTTCACTTTCTTTTCATTTTGGTGGGTTGACGATTGACTTTTCAAGATATTCTCACCCAAAGAAGACAACCCCTATTTTCCCCAAAGCGGAAAAGCAGCCATCTTGAAAAACGATCCCTCCACAACATGGCAAAATAGCACCACTTTCGAGCCCAATAGCATCCAAAATGCTCAGAATTAGAAGCCCCAAGTCCGGGCCAGAGGTTCATTACCATATCTCTTCAATTCCCCAATTTTATAGCCCTCAAAACTCTCTAATATAGAATATTTTGAGGGTATAACTTTTATTCATGAGCTCGGCGGACGGATTTCGGCCTATTTACAGGCGTGCACCCTTTAATAGCAGGCAACTTCAAATAGCAGGCAATCTCCAAAGTCAATATTTTAAAAAAAAAATTGAAAGACAAAAATTATCCGAGATCAAAATTTGACCCTCAAATAGTGACCTTTTTTGCTCTGCTAGCTATAGAGCGCCCCCAACGACAATTATTTGAGTTTCAGCTACTTTGAAGCTCAAAATGCCCCCTCCCCCACCCTTTTTCAACTCGAAATTGCTGTAATCAGCTGATGGCCTACGAGTATACGATTTGGGAGCATCCGTTACGGAAAAGCCCTTGTTGATACCTTTAAAAATACTTTGCCCCCCTCCCCATAGGCTCCGCCCACTGCAAAAACACCGCCGCAGCAAAGCGCAAACGCGGCGGCCATCTTTAATTGTCAGTCTCTTACAGGGTGCATCCTTACAACAAAATCCCTTGGACACTAGTGCTAAATGCGCATACTTCAAAATTATTTTTAAAATATTCAGAATTCTCACAGGTATTCAAGCTACACAGAAAAATGATGATCATTGTGTCATCTTTCATTTTCTTTTCATTTTTTGGTGGGTTGACGATTGACTTTTCGAGATATTTATCACCCAAAGAAGACGACCAATATTTTCCCCAAAGCGGAAAAACAGCCATCTTGAAAAAACAATCCCTCCACAACATGGCAAAATAGCGCCACTTTCGAGCCCAATAGCATCCAAAATGCTCGGAATTAGAAGCCCCAAGTCCGGGCCAGAGGTTCATTACCATATCTCTTCAATTCCCCAATTTTATAGCTCTCAAAACTCTCTAATATAGGATATTTTGAAAGTATAACTTTTATTCATGAGCTCGGCGGACGGATTTACAGGCGTGCACCCTGCAACGTGCATGTATAGTCAGATGGCGCCCTCTATAGTCAGATGGTGTCCAGCACCCCTCCATAGTGTATACGCTATGACGTTTTGGACTTTACTTCTCTTAAAAACATGAGAACAAAATATACAATTAGAAAACAAGAAATAAATTCGAACGTAATGAAATTGGGACTTGTTTTCCCTCTAAAAAAAACAACTCCAAAGCCTCAGATTAGAAAAGAAAATAAATCGGGTACAGTATCGTAGAGGGCGCTCAACAACCATGTAACGCGGATGTTGTTTGGGAAAAAAATCATTCGCCCCGGCCGCTTTTTTGGAGCTCCCAGGCTGCTGGTACCCCGACCCCCTCCCCACCTCCCCTCACCCCACCCCCCCCCACACACACACACACCCTACCCCACACCCCCACCCACAACGTTGACAAGGGTCCAGAGTGTGACATTCATGTTTCCTGTGTCTGTTACCGCCGTGCGGTACTTTGTAATTTACCATTCAAGTGTCATTGAGAATTTCATTTGTTTTTATTTGTTGGGTAGAAAGTTTGCTAATTCGTAATCACTCTTGGAGGAATGACTGATTTAAAATTTGGGTAAGAATTTTAAATTCATTTCTAAAGATAGACCCACATGGGACATGTCCTGGGGCTGGACACCATCTTCCCATGGGGGCGCTGTTCAAAAACGTATACCACTGATAGATTAGACAATGACTATCGCTATTCACTTTCCAAGGGACGTTACAATAAACAGCCACTCGCGCGCAAAAAAAAGAAGAGTTTTGGTGAAAAATACGCACAAAATCGCGGAAAAATGGACTTTATGTTATTCTAGCTAATCATGGAAATTCCTATGGCTGTGCTTTTCTCGGGATGCCAAATGTTCAGTGGGGGCGATTGGGAGGCATTTGAAATTGTTAGTTTTTCCGGTCAGTAGTTTCGTAAGCGTATGATTGGTATTCTGTTTACCCTTTTCTTTTCTTTTCAACAATATGGTGTTTTTTTGTGTAAGACGGCAGAACCACTATGCCCCAATCTATAATAAATTAGCTCAAGTTGTCTACTGACACTCGTTCAAATGGGCCATGTTCTGTCGACCGTAAACTTAAAAAGAGGACTCTCCACGGCAAACTCTTGGTGGCGCACTGCATTGTGAATCGCTCGAATTGCATATTCTGCTTCTTTATTCCTCATGAACGATTTTTTAAAAAAGTCACAGGTCTTGCACGAACCAATTACAGTCATGATACTTTGGCCAAGCAGGACGCGAGTAGATCCCTCCACTGCGAAAAACAGAAATATAAATTATGTAGTGGGACGGCAACAAGGAGGCTGATGTCATATGAAAATCTGACTCGTATGAAAATCTGACTCTTTCCCCTTTTATTGGTTAAACCCTCTCACGTGACCGGTCCCTCTCCCAATTATCTATGCATGAGCATGCGCAATACCACCAATGAGTACGTATTTCATAATACCTAAATTTATGCTACACCGGCCCTCTAGTTAAATCTATGTGTCCCATATAATGTTGAAACGCTATGGAGTTAGAGATTTTCATAGAAACAAAGGAGAAAACAAGTAGGAAACAAAGCTCTTTGCAACATATGTATGTAAAGCTGCACATACATCATTGCAGTCATTATGTGTACCTGTGCACAAAATAATATTTCCTCACGTTGCATGGACCGTAGGCCTAAGATGTTAACGTTTTTCTTTTTTCTGAAAACAGTCTTTCAATTATGGTTATCCTTCGCAAAATGAAGTAAAACACTGAAGGAAATCACGGTCAAAAAATCAGTTTCAAAGATGTTTACAGCGCTTGTGACAACGTCTTGAAATGTGTGTTTTTTTTCTTCTTAACTACACGGAACATAGAAATGTCTACAAAAGGTAATGAAGACGAACGCGTGTTGAGAGGGCTGGTCATGATGACGCCTTCTCACTTTCGCCGTTCGTCTTGACAAGTCTTCGCACGTACCTACTGGCGACTCCTTTAAATTTGTGAAGACTCGCAAAAGACGCAAAGTATTATGTGATTAAGATACAATTAGACGCTTCTTCGGAGTGTGGTACACAAACCGTTACCAGGTACAAATGAAGGTATAAGCCGTCTTTCCTATCAATGTAAGAACCAAGGCAAGCTGCTTATTTAGTGCTTTATATATAAACAGCGCCACCGATTCCATTCCAAAGCATGGGGAGAATAAACTTGTAACACTTTTGAAATGAGAGCGCTCTTCAATTCTATAAAGGATCATGTGGCAGCGCATGAACACTGGCATACACCAAGCAAGTGGAGCGTAGAAAAGTAAAACTAAGGCCTAAACTCAAAGGAGTCATTTCGTGTGGAATGCAACACTTTCGGTTTAAAAACGTGTCTCCGAGTAATAAAAGAGTAATCAAAACAAATAAGTAGATTATGAACATTTACACACCTAAACCTTTACAAAATACGGGTATCTTAATGGCTTTTTTTTTTTAATTTATCCTAGAGTCATTTTTAGTGCAGAGCACACGCAGTTGTTACTTGTCAGTATACAAATAACGAATGTTTGTGAGTGCGATGGTAAGAATAATTTCATGAGGTGACAGATTAAATGTTCTATTCCACGAGGCGAAGCCGAGTGGAATAGAACATTCAATCTGTCACCGAATGAAATTATTCTTTCCATCGCACGAACGTAAAACATTCGTTATTTGTTTTATACAACTTCTGAATAAATTCTCGTCATTTGATTGGTAAATTATAAACTACAATTTATTTTGATTTTAAAGATGTTGAACTACCCCTTCACGAAAATGTTTGAACCCAACGCTGTAGCGCTGGCTCTTTGGAACAACACGCGCTACGCTGAACGCGCACACCAGCATGCATTTTGCACGCAAATACCGCGTCATGGAACAAGCGCAAAGTGAAACGGTATAACGCATGGGTATAACGCATGGTCGCACCGTGCATTATACCGAATAATAATATGTCACGTGATCTACAATTCACCAATCAGATGACGGGGATTTATTCAGGTGTTGTATAATAAGTAATAATTGAGTAAATAATTGAAATTACGCTCAGCTGGATGTGTAGTTGAAAAAAATAAACATCGGTACAGTTGAGCCTACAATGTAATAATGTAATACATTCATTTTGCGGGTATTAACACGTGCAACACTTGCCTTCATCGTATTGATAAATGCCTATTTCCCAATGCGTAACAAGGGAGGTCCTATAATAGAGTATATAACTATACTATAGTTTATAAGCTATACTGAGATGGTAACTCGCTCGCCCGCATAGAACACACGCAGTGAGACGCACGTGCATTTTTTGGCAACCCTATTGGTCGCATTTAGTGTGTACCACCTATGTAAGACCGTGGTACAACCCCTAACTGTAATTATAACACCTCACCCACAGATTCTGTGTCTTGATTGGCCGAGAGCGAGTCACATGTTACTTTCTAATTTTGCTAACTTTCTGTGCACGGCCAAAAGTACTATACCCGTAGCAACCAAAGTACTATACCATTGGCAACCAAAGTACTATTTCCACGGCGCGGTATTTGTGTGCAAATGGATGCTTGTGTGTGCGTTGCGCGTTGCGCGTAGCGCGTATTGTTCCAAAGAGAGCGCGCCGCAGACTTGGGTTCAAACATTTCGTGACGGGGTAGTTTGGAAGAGAGAAATACATTTCCATCAATTTTGTATTGAAATTGAAGTTTATTTCAACTGTGTTCAGATTTAAATAATTTAAAATATTAAAATCAAGCAGAATCTGTGGGTGAAGTGTTATAAATCAAATATTGAATGCTTTATCTCGTGGAGAAACTAGTAAAAACTAAAAAGTAAAACTAGCCTCCCTCGATGATCCATGGACCAATTTATATTCTAAAATAGAATGTCCATGGATCACCTCGGGAGGCTAGTTTTACTACACCACTCGAAGCATTCAATATTTGTATACTATATATAAACTGAATTCGTCCGAATAGATTTGGTTTTTGAAAGCTTTGGTTTGTCTCCGGCTGTGGTTTCGAGAGGTTTAGGACCCCTGATGTTGGGACTCCAACATTGGTTTGTGTATTTTGCAGCAAGAATATAAAATCCTGCTATACGTGGCCGGAGTTAATAAGTGCATTTCTATTTGGCTTGGACGACATTAGCTTCTAAGTGATTATGAGAGGTGATTCGCAACCTAAAGCTGCAGACAAGCACACGTTTTGAAAACAATCTTTAATGGCCGATTGAGCACCCGATCCAGGCCTTCTTTCCCCTATCGAGGGCAGACATCTAATAGCGGTATTAAAAACAAGCAAGCATAGTTACAATTGCTACATGACGCTGTGACTCAAGAGCGGATCCAGAACACAATTTTTGGGGGAGCCAAAAAAAAATTTGGTTCCCCAAAAAAGTGGGTCAAAAAAATTACGGCGTGGGGTTCGGGGCCCGCTTAAGGGCCCCGAAAACTTTTTGGATTCTAGATGCTCTGTGGTGCGATCTGAGGCAATTTCTGACCACTTTAACCAATGTTTTTTTGAGGAAAAGATGGTGGTGTACTCATTGCCTGCCTTTATTGCGATGTCACATAAAAAAAAAAAAAATGGTTTCGTTTTTTTGGGGGGCCATGGCCCCCTTTGGCCCCCCCCCTCCCGGATCCGCCCTTGCTGTGACTCGGCTTCTTTAAAAACGAAGGGTTAACTACTATTTGTACGAACATTCAACATTTTAATACAATTTGTTTCAAGACAATAAAATTGGTTGAAAATCTGAGTCCTTAAATAGTAATCACTTAGAGCATTACAAAGCACTTACTAAGAGCATGACATAGCACGAACGCTTAAACTACGCAGCTTTCACTTGTATTCATGCCCATCGCTAATGCAAGCAAGCAGGTCAATTTTCAAGACAGATTGTCGTATGGACACAATAAAGGATTATGGGAATTCAACATAGCTCCTATGTACTCCACATCGTTGATTAAAGCTAACCAATTACATTCATCTGATTGAACACGTGAAATCAGCCCGAGTCAGGACTGGTGTACAATTAACTACACACAAATTTGTTTGTCAATACGGCAAAACGTTTTCTACTAAAAGTAAATCCGAATTTTTTTTGTATGTTTTCAGAAAAAAAGACCATTTAAATTTATATTTTCAATATTCTGGAACATTGACAACATATTGCGTTCGTCATTTGGTCGAGAATGAAACTCGTTATGATAATGCATTCACTATAGATGCTAACTAAAATCTCAAATAATTTGTACGGTTAAACAGCCAATAGCAGTATTTTATTCGCATCTTTCTCCTGCGTTCCTCCTCAGTCATCTTTGTTGGTGTCTGTTACCAGAGCTGATCAGATCAATGCTGAGACGTGGATCCTGCCATTGCTGTTCAGAAAAAAAAAATAAACAACAAAATGTCGTACATTAACTAAATGGCAAGTTATTCGTTTTACACTGCATATGGAAATGTAGTGGAAAAAGTCCCAAAGTCTCTTTGTACGGGGTCTGATCCCACACTAAAACCCTGTCCACTGTGAAAATTGTAAGTATTCCGTCCAGCCCGGAAGTTAGTATAATATAATATGACATTGTGACGCCGCTATAACGAACACCGCTATTACGAACATTCAGCTATAACGAACATCCCCTTTGCTTCCTGTAATATAACACACTTGCATCGTCTTTATTTTGAGGAATCCTTGGACGCTCCTTATGGCTCTGACGGTAAAAAATCACATCTCACGTTTCCGAAGTGCACACAAGCAAATTTCATAAAAAAGACTGTGTGACAATCTAAATATTGTTAGTCCTCTTTGTACCTGACTGACTCGTTGACTGACTCACTCCCCGACTCATAACCCACTGACTGACCCTTATAAAATTAGACTTGCTATAACTCTTACCTTGCCACAAAGTCTGAAATACAGGGCGAGTCAAAAAAAGAGGAACCCAAACCCCAAAAATTATATTTCATGTTTAAAAAAATATGTAGCACCAAACATAATTATGACTGGAAAGCCACTTTTATAAGCTACCTTGGTCAATCCGTTCAAAGAACATCACCATTTAAACACAATGGCCCTAAAACCTGTCTCGTCCAAAAAAAATGCGATTTCAAGAATCGTCGTCACAATTGTCTTTAAACATCACCAGCGATAAGATCTCAGTTTAAACGTTTAAATATTCAACAGTCTTTTTGAAGGCCCGTCTTTTTTTAAAAAGGTTGATTTTATAAATTATATTGTTTGCCTAACCGGGGTTGTTAATAAAGATATTGTGCACTACAGGTGGTGACAGTTGTACAGTTGTTGAAACAAGTATTCTGTGTCATTTTCTTTGTTGTTCCAAACAGTCAAAACACACAATAATTTTTTTTTTTGGACGAGAAAGGTTTTATTAGGGTCGTTGCATTTAAATGGTGATATTCTTTGAACGGAATGAGCAATTTCAGTATTTCTTTTCATCTAAAAGTAGCTTATGAAATTGGCTTTCCAGTCATTATTAATTTTGGTGCTACATATTTTTTTTACATATGAAATATATTTTTGGGGTTTGGGTTCCGCTTTTTTTGACTCGCCCTGTATACAGCAACAAAAAGTAACGCCAATGAATGGGTCAAATCCGGCCATTGTGTAGGCCGCACGCGCGCCAAGACTTTCCGTTACATAATAACCATTCTGAATAGTGTGATGCACCTGATTATTTTACAGTGCCTTCACCTGATTATTTACTTACGTAATTGCGGAACGAGTACATGTGCTTCCTAATCCGAATTCACTATATCCCTTGGAATTTGATTATATAACCCAGCCGTATTAATTCTGTATAAAACCCACGGTCTAGCCCCACGCTGGTTGTCTGTGTTCCAGAGGCGTGTGGTCACCATAGCTCCCTGTAGACTGCAGTTTGTGTATTTATGGATTCGGTACGTCTTGTTCTGTTTAATTAATAAATTATTGAGTACGGAAAAGTCTGTGTTCACTGCCTTTAATTTACCGAGTCCTTTATAGTTAAATTGTCAACTTGAATCCCGGATGGCCGGTTGAAGTTCGTCCATCACATATATATATATTTGTGCACTCTAAGACCCGCTTCACTAGTCTTTTTTTATCTGAATATAACTTACTCGTGGCAGTGTTTTCCAAACGGATGTTAATCGCTTGGACCTTGGATGCTCTCATCGCAAATGCCTGCCTCACCTAGACATAAATATTTTATCAAAATAATTGGAAAACTGGAGGTTTACGTTTGTCTTTGTGACTAATGCAGGGTGATGTGGCGCTGAACTATTTTTTTTTTTATTGGACATTGTCTAAGGCTCGGCTGTAAACATGTTTGTGCAAAAAAAAAAAAATAAACGTCGATAAACGTGGGATGAAGTAACACTGGACGAAGTATCATCAAGGTTATCGCTAGGGGTCGCCATTTGTTTTGCTGACAGATTAAAAATAATATTTAGTATATAGGGAGTATGTGATTTGGTCCCAAATTTGCATAAATAAAAATTAAATGAGAAAATAGTCGGTTAATACCTACCTCTTGATCAAAGACGCACTGGAACAAAAACACGAAAACGCCCTGTTGATTAAGAAAAACAGAAAACCGAAACGACGCAGTTTTATAACAAGGAACAGTTTTCAGACCCCTCTTCTGCTCGAGTTGGCCGTGTGCTCCCCGCCACCTTCCCGCTCTGAAATTGGGGAATTCAGAACTGAGCTTTTTTTTTTACAGCTCATTGAGTGCCCCAATATACAAAGCGGTATCCCAAGCCCGCCCCCCCCCCCTGCAAATTAGTAAGAAGCTCTGCCACACCATTGTTGACAACGCCTCATGTCTCTTGATCTTAGTATTTCAAAACAATCTTAGTTCAATTTGGATCTTACTTAGTGATGTTTGGATCAAACATCTCCTTTTTTTAATTGTTCTGTGAGTCTGATGCTTTGAGGTATTTCATGGAAACATTTGGGTGGGGCTCATCAAAGTTATGCCAACATTGCATGTGAATTGCATACCTGCAGAGTGTTCAAGACTACAGAGGCATACGCAAAGAAGATGGTGGCTTCGTCGATGAAGAACACACCGAAAATCCAGGACATGGCCAGAAGCGGCTCCAACACCAACATCATTCGGAGTCCGGCCCTGGAGAAAAAAAATTAAAAAGGAGACAGTAACAAACTGAGATTCCCATTAACATAAGTAGATATCAGCATTTCTTAAAATTACCGTAATTTTTCAACGGGTAAAGCAAAGGTAGAGCGATATTAACGACCAATTTTCTCCGAAAAAAATACTGTATCAGGCTGCAAAAAAACATAATGATTTAAGAATTTGAACCAACGATCTTAAGAAGACCGCAAGTGGGCATCATGTAAGCAGCCGTGTCTTGGCGGCATCACAAAATCAATTTGATAGTTTCGACAGATTAATCTGTGTGAAATTGGGCGTTTTGTCACAATATCTAGCCGCTGAGTTTCCTGATCAACGAGTAGGCCCTAAGCGATTAGATAAACAATGTTTTGTTCTAATGCAATCAACCTATAGCGATCGTTTTAAACGAAGTGACTTACTTCAGTTTCATTACTTTCGATTTGTCCTGGTTGCTCTTCAGCGAGTAGAATATCCGGATGAGTCGAATAAGAACGAAAATATTCCCCTTCAAGAAAATGAAAAAAAAAAAAAAAAAAAAAACGAATGAAGATTCGAAATTATTTACACAACACAGTCTTTAAAACAACAGAGGATTACCTTGTAAAACATTGTAAACCGTTTTAGATCAACATTATTTTGAACAGTGTTGAAATAATTTAACATGGAAAACAGAGGATCACTTCGGCAACATTTTGTTCAGTTTCACAATTTGTTTCCGGGCGGATTAAAGACATCCCCACGATGGCGTCCACAATTTAAGCAAACCACGTCTCCGTCTACGTCTCCGACCGATTTTAAGGTTTTTGGGATCTTGAATACAGCCAAGGCTTGGTTTATATATACTTACAATGAGAACACAGATAACCGGAGCCAAGAAGGCCCAGACCAACCCTCCATCAAAGGACAGCCAGCAGCTGATGAAATTAAAAAGATACAAAGAAACAATTTTACCGGCAAAAATACAGTCTAGTAATGTAACAATCACTGACCATAAGAACACGGGCCCCCTGCTTTGAATGAAGCTGGACAACACGAGACGTTTTATTCCCTAACGACCATGAATCAGTTTGAAATACACGAAAACTGAATGGAGAATGATACTGAATAAAGTGATGTGGCGAGTTTCGAGAAAGCAACAGGGGGTTTACCTGCCGGGCCTTGTGTAGTCACGTGACCGGATTGCGACAGAGATACCAACTACAACCGCTGGGCATCCTGCCAAAGTCAAATTCAAATACGTAAAAAATGGAAATAACGGTGAACTTCAGAAAAGGAAAACAAGACCAGACAAGCCAAAACTAGAGGTGTGGTAAAGTCTATTCAATCGATTCAAAAAGGCTTTCAAATAAAAGTCTTTATATGAATGAGCCTGATTTAGCATATCCATTGGAGTTGCGGGGTGCGGGGTAATTCTATACGATAGCACTACCCGGCTCGCAAGTGAACAGTGAGTCAGTGAGTTGAGATACAAAGAGGACTTTAGGCCGGCCCAGCCTCTCTGGGACCAGCAAAAAGTGGGAGGAAATAACAGCGGATTGAACAACAATAGGACGTGGTGACGGGATGAATTGACATAAAACAGGGGTGTTTTTTTTGTAGTGACATAATTAAACCACATTCTGATAAGCTGTATCATCTTAAAGTGCTCAAATCAAAATTCTATTCTGGACAAAAATTTCGATCTGTCAATTCAGAGATGTATGATCTTTCTATTCCCTTACTTTAGTTCAAGATTTCATGTTTTAGCGGGCTATGTAAGTATTGTTAATTGTTCTTTTACCAGCAGTTTGAGAAATTCCTCACAATATTCATCTCGTTGTGAACAATATTTTGCACCTTCAGTTCTCGCCTTTTTACAATGTAAGATTTACTGATGAAACATGTTCATGATTATCAGTATATTGGTTTAATTTTTGTTGATCAAAAACATCACCCCATCCAATCGAAAGCCAGACTGGAATTCGGATCGTCCAGCGGAATGTGGGCGTGGACTTGATGTAGAGAAACACGCCCTCTAGTGCCATCCAGGTAAAAGCTGCCAGCAGGAAGAAATGAAGCAAAATGGCGACCGCCGTGCACGCGGTCTAAAAAGGAAAGAAAAATAGAAAACACAATCATAACCAAAACCCAACACGATTTGAGATCGTTACCAATCCTTGAATTTTGGTATATAGTCTTCACTTTTATTAAAAGTTTTGATTCAAATTTGTTCCCAGAAACCCACCTCATTTGACGTTCCAGTGAACAGAAATGTAACGTGTGACGCCATCAGTGACAATGCCAAGTTCGCATGGGTTAAAATGCGATCACTGGTCAGTCTGTAGGTACAAAACATTTTATGTATATTAGTTTACGGTTACTCTCGTGTAAAATCACTGAAAATAGGATGAATCAGAGACACATTTTAGACAATTAAAGTTGTTACATGGTCCATCGTTTGCTCTGTACGGAAGACGGATAGTGCCACTCAATGAGTGTGAATATATTTTTTTGGTGCGTGTGAAAATATTTTTGTGTACAGCGGCCGCCACTTATTATGTGGCGGCCGCCAGATAATAAGTGGCGGCCGCCACATAAAAAAGTGTGAATATATTTGTTTGTACGTGTGAAAATATTTTTGTTGTACAGCGGCCGCCAGATAATAAGTGGCGGCCGCCACATAAGTCGTCATAATAAGTGGCGGCCGCTGTCCAAAAAAATATTTTCACACGTACAAACAAAATATATTCAAACTTTTTTATGTGGCGGCCGCCACTTATTATGACGACTTATGTGGCGGCCGCCACATAAAAAAGTGTGAATATATGTTTTTTGTTCGTGTGAAAATATTTGTTTGTACAGCGGCCGCCACTTATTATGGCGACTAATTATGTGGCGGCCGCCACATAATAAGTGGCGGCCGCTGTACAAAAAAATATTTTCACACGCACCAACAAAATATATTCACACTCATTGAGTGGCACTATCCGTCTTCCGTAGCTCTGTTTACAATGCTCGAGCAGTTTCATTTACAAAAAATACTTCCGGCAAAATACAGGGTGACAAAAAAAATACAACCCTATAACATTTGCCTTAAAAAAAGGATCGGTAGATTTTTATGTTTTTGGTATCACATTAAAGCTGAGAGATTTTTCTTTCAAATACTGAAAAAATCATGAACTTTTTCTTTCAAATGCTGAGAATAAAAATGTAAAAATAGCACTTTATGTTGCAGAGAAAATGCCAATTATGTAAAGTAGTCATTTTTCATCCTGAAAAAAATTACCACAGTAAGGGATTTTCACTCTACCTATTTATGCATGTCCTAATCCTTACAAACAACATGGCACATAATATGACGAGAGAACAAATGAATTTGATGAAAATACCTTTTATTTTCCAAATGAACAGGTATCTCATCCTTTTTAGTCCTATTTTAAACCCTTTCAGCATGAAGGCTAATTGCACAGTAAGCTTACAGTAAAACGTTTCACTGTTTGAAGCTTTCTCAGCAACCCAAAGTGCTCTTTTCATGATTTTTTTCTTCAGTATTTGAAAGAAAAAGCTCTCAGCTTTAATCTGATACCCAAAACATAAAAATCCACTGACCCCTTTAGGGTTGCATTTTTTGTCAGATTGCATATTAGAAGAATTAGCAAAAGATGGCTTACCGACAGAATACATACGTCATCAGTGTGACAACGAGACACGCAATGGAAAGACCGAGGCCAATACGCGTCAGAAGACTTAGAATAAAGGTGTGATTGTCATCAAGATTCACCTTTAGAAGAAAAGATACTCGATTTCAATCCTGTTTCGATCATACGGAAGAATAAAACAATCTTACACACTCGTTAACTTGCAGTCAATTTGGTTTTTTTTTTGGTAGCACCAGAGACTAGATTCCCAATCAGCGTCCCAGTCTGCAACTTCACACAGCGACTGGGATTAGAGTCAATTCTTTGAGAGCTGGCTTGAAATCCAGCTACACTATTACAAAAAAACTCCAGTTAAGCTGTTGACTATAGTTTTATTACGCCTTATGGGTACACCCAGGCAAATAAATTCCCATAGACACCGGTGTTAAATCCCCATATTTCAAAAATATTTTTAAAATAATCAGAACTCTCGAAGGTATTCAGGTTGCACAGAAAAATGATGATCAGCATGTCATCTTTAATGTTCTTTTCACTTTTTAATGGGTTGACGGATGACTTTTCGAGAAATTCTCACCTAAGGAAGACGACCCCTAAAACGAGTGATATTTCCGAACGTGGGAAGGCAGCCCTCTTGGAAAAAAAGAAGATCCCTCCACAACATTGCTAAATAGCGTCACAGTCGGGCCCAATTGCATCCAAATAGCTCGAAATTGCAAGCCCCAAGTGCGGGCCAGAGGTGCATTGCCATATCTTTTCAATTTCCCAATTTCATGGCTCTAAGAACTCTCTAATATAGAAGAATTTGAGTGTATACATTTTTTTCATGAGCTCGGCGGACGGATTTTTGGCCTATTTTGGTTGCGCCCCTTTTCACGAGGAAGCAATTTTTGATCGTGTTCCCTGAATGTATATTAATGTTAACTGTTGAATGGCATGGTACCAGACTATTTATGCGTTCCTAGTCTCACTTTATTATTTTTATGTGGCTTAAAACATTAGGGTACGCTTAATCACAAATTTTAAATTACTCATCGGGGCAGACCGGTGTTAATTTATAATTAACTTAATGTCTTTGCTTTAATTTCAATTCGCAAGTTCCAAAGATTCTTAGGGATAATGTTATGTATACAACCAATGCCAAAATACACAGATAAACATTTAAAATTTCAAGCAGACAACTTTTGTTTTAGTGATTGCCAAATAAGGTTCGAAAGTCAAAGTTCAAATACATTCATTCATAATTTGGGAGTTGTACTATAACATATAGCATCACTGGATTTATGATCGCACCTCCTTCACTTGCAGAAGAATGGCAAAATGTGTCAGGTGGTCACAGCTGCATGTGACGTCATCGGCAGCAACGCTGGTAACCCAGCAACCATCAGTATACCAGATCCTGCTCAGGAAGCATTTAACAATTGTTGACTGCTGTGATGTGGGATATGACGTTTTGAACACCCGCGGGACGCATAACAGTAAACAATTGTTTTGTTATACCTCTGTCTTGGATTCTTTTGATTTTGATGCAAAAATCACGAAAACACTGAACAGCAGTAAACACAGCAATCATGACAAACGAACGTCAACTCACATGCATGTAGTGTGCTCGAAACTGCTGATCGTCTGCTAGTTCGCTGCTCCCACTCATGTGTAAAAACATGATGAAAATAGCGTGGGTACCAACAATACAAGCGTTTGACACGTACGTACCGTACGCAGAAACTCATAGCACACTCCCTGTGGGATATCACGTGATATCCCACAGGGAGTGCGCCATGACTTTTTACAAACTTAACACGTGATTGTTCTAGGCCAATGAAAATACAGTATGCAAGACAGAGGTATAACAATACTCATTAACAATTAAATCAAATGCTCAGACTATGAGATATGCACATTGTACATCCATGGGGGCCTGGTCGCTATTATGTTCATAGGAATGACTTTTCCTCAAATGTAGTTATACAATAGTCCTATGTGAATCAAATGCATGTACAATTTTCACGAAGCGTAACAAATGGTATTAGGAATCGGTATCATTTTTAACCAAGGTCAGATCGTTTGGTTACAATTATGCTTATGACCGCAAACCCAGAAATTAAATGAACCATGAAAGTTGTCTTTGAGTGTTGGGGCGATAGGGTATGGGGGAAAAGATGGTTTAAGGTTACGAAAAACGTAAGGTAAATTCCAGTGTTGTATGTTTCGATACCAGTCTCGGTCTCGGTCTCGGTCTCGAGACTACTTTTTGCCGGTCTCGGTCTCGGTCTCGGTCTCGGGAGCTGTGGTCTCGGTCTTGGTCTCGGTCCTCTTTGGTCTCGATATTTTGGTTGGTCTCGAGTCGAGACCAGCCAAAAAGTGAGGGGGCGGATTCCACCCCCGGCCCTTTTAGGGTTAAGTAAAGAATCAGTTTAGGGCAAATGTGACTGCAGTGTGGTGTTAATGGACATGTCTCTCTTCACTTTCTAGTGAGTGAGGCATAGTCCAATAACCATTGCTCCTCTTCTTATTTCTCGTTTTTATTGTGGGATGGTCTGTTGAAACAAGCACTTTATAGCCATCCTCATTAATTCCAAATACAACTGAGATTTATATCTTATGAATCAAGACTGAAACATTATTTTTACCGTCAGATTTTGTATTTTGAATATGGGGAACAATTCAACTCTTTTCCCCTAGAAATATTGGTGATTTTTTTCTATTTTCCGTTTTCACTTTTTCCTTTATTCGTGGAGGCGGGAAAACGTTTTTTTTTCATTATATTTATTAATGGATATTCATCCATTCGTAGACCGTTAAATTGGTATTAGTGGTGGACAGCTCAATTTTGTGATCTCTTTATTAAAATAGACACGACTTGGGAATAGAGTATGCAAATTACGTGAAAGGTTCACAGTTACTACTCAATAACATGTTCTTTATCCCAATTATATTTTTTACAAAATGGAGCGTGCCATTGTTTTTATCATACGGTCACTTTCTTTTTGACTCGCCATGTATTCATCTTTTCATCTATGATAAACACAAATTTAGCTACTGCCATGGCCACACAAAAATAGAGTCTAATTGCCTGCCTCGTCTCCTTTCTAAATGTCAATTGCATTTGCATGAGTCGAGAAGAATTGTGTTCCATTAATCGCTATATGCTGTTTACGGCCATCACAATAGACTATTAATATATTGGCAATATGTCGTACTTGTTAATCACTAAAATATTCAAGTAAATTGCCCAGCAAAGTAGCCGAGTACATCTCGCCCACAACATTCAGTTTGTGACAGCGCCCTTCTATATTGTGTCGGCCATATTCTCAAATAGGCTAATGACGATGATGACGGCGGGCAGATTAACAGAAGATAGATCAGGCAAATATGGTTCATCAATCTTCTATAGTAAATGTAACGTTATTGACATTAAACAAAAATAAAGTGGCATTACATTTCAGCCTTAGCCAGGCCTTCTTCAGAGGTAAACAAGAAACAAACATGTAGAGGAACAAGAAACAAACATGTAGGGGACACACAAACATGCAGGGTTGGAAGGAGAATCACAAAGAGGGATGGGGGGGGGGGCAGACCAATCCATATCTGGCTACCATCTCTAAATTTGTTGGTCTACATGTACACATCTATATTCCATGACTGAAAAAATAAATCAATATTTTCTTGCTCCAAATTTTTTTCGAATCAGGTTTACAAGGAGGTCCAATGTAAAATTAAAGTTGCATTTTAATATCCGTTAGTGGTCATTGCTGAAACCAAGGGGTGGCTGTGGAGTTTAGGGTCCGAGTTTCTATAACAGATGAAACATCCACCTTTAACTGTTTACTTTTGTCAAGTTTCAACATGTTCAAGTTTTGCAAAAACTAGTACAAATTGTCGTACTCCTAAGTTAGAGTTTCTTCATCAGATTTATACTTTATAGTAGTTAAACAATATTTAAAAAAAAACATTTTAAAAAAGTGGCAAAATATATGGAGTTCATCAAATAAGGTTTTCCCCTTCTTTGAATTAGGTTGTTTCCAATTTTTTTTAATTGATTGTGACAATAACAAATTCTGTTGCCATGTTGTAATTTATGGCATGAAGCAAACACGAAGAGCACTCGCATGATACAATTAAGCAGGTACAAGTGATTCCTAACTTTCAATCACTTCCTTCACATCCCCATGAACATCAACATCTCAAGGACAGACTGTTCAGCTGTAATTAGTGTCTTGTTGTTTATTTAGATTATTGTTATTTATTATCCGCGGTCTCGGTCTCGGTCTCGGTCTCGGACCATATTGGTCTCGGTCTCCGTCCGCCTTGAAGGGGCTGGTCTCGGTCTCGGTCTCGGTCTCGGTCTCGCAACTTCAGGTTTTGGTCTTGGTCTCGGTCTCGGACTATCCGGTCTCGACTACAACACTGGTAAATTTACTAAATTCGTTCCCTACAGGAGCGTTATGATCAAGCCTGAAACGAAATGCATCTTGTTACACCGTGTTTACCATCAAAGGTTCATTTCTCCTTTCTTTTACTAAAAGAGCTAGTTATGGCTCTCATTCGAGGCATGTGACAATCTTGATAGATCGTAGATGCTACCTTTTCTGTCTCCTCGTTAACGAGACGTCAGACAAACAATGCAACCAAGACAACGGGCATTTATTGATGCGCTCATTGTCTAATTAGTTCAGGCTCTTTTGCCCTCAGTGGCAAGACCACGACGAAGCCAAAATATTATTAAAAAAACACACAAGAGCTATAATACTCCATTAGGCAAAAAAAGTCTTCGGTTTCTGGTATGGAGCTTGCCCCAAAAGTGGTGCGGCGACGCGGCTTTTTTTTTTAAATACTTTTTTTTGCTTCAAATGTCGGCTGATGTTGCAGATGACTATAAAATGTGCCCGACTAAATTAAGTGCAAAATATATGGGAGCCTAGAGAGGCCACATAAAGCTTTTACTCGATCGTAACCCCATCTAAAAACACTCTAAAATTGTGCAGCAGCAGGATTCCAGTCAAACCAGTGAGTTTTGGTGGTTTTGAGACATCATCCACAATGAAAAAAAATGAAGAAAAAAAAATTGGCCGATGCGCATGGCTACGGCGACGCGCGCGCATACCAGAAACCGGAGACTTTTTTTGGACTTACCGAGAATATGTGACAAACGCACAGTGCTCTCGTTGATTATTTTGATATTTATTGGTAATTCATATTCTGTCACAACTCCCTTTGACAGGAGGACAATGCAGGCTTTTCAAGCAAATAAATTGGAAATGAATAACACATAAATAATGAACTTCATTTCAGAAATTGCTGTCGGTCGTTTTTTTTTAACCTCACTCAGATCGTGGCCATTATACCATAAAGTAATGGATATCTGTATGTTAAAGGTCCATCATTTGAATTTATTTTTGTTACTTGCCATTTTACATTTTATGCCGTCGTGTGTACATTCATCGTCTAATTATTTGTATATAAAGTATAAGGTAGTATGTTTTTAGAGAAGTTTTACACCAATCAAAATCGAGATAAGTACATGCATGTTGTTTGTGATTGTTTCAAATGTTATATATTTACTCGGCTTGTAATCTACTTATGAGATGTCCAACCATTCGCAATTGCCTTTTATGGATAAATAAAGTATTTTGAATTTGAATTTGAATTTTTCTTTTGAAGAGCACGGGGTAGACATCTTTAATTGAAATGCCATTTTCTTTCTCTACGCACTGTTATTTTTCTTTTTTACCAAAGAAAACGGTGTAAACACGGTTCTCTACAAAAGTAAAAAAGTATTTAAAATTTTCAGTTTGCCTAAAGATGGAAATATCCACAGGGAATGAGGCTTCGAATGTAAATGGGCGAAAAATGTCCAAGAAAGATGAAAAAGGAACAATGTTTACTTACGGGTCGTCACCAGAACGAAAAGAGCAAATTGCGAATTCGTTGTCATAGATCTACAAAGGGAATACAGAATAGGGCTTACGTTTTTAAACTCCTACAGATAATGTGACCGTGATATTTCAAATTTTAAATATTTTCTCCTATGGAAGTATTTACAGAATATAATGTGTTTTAAAGATTACAATGGTCATCAAGGTAGGGTCTATCTGTTTTCAGTATGAATTGATTGTCTATTTAGTTACTGGAAAAACCTTTTGAAGATCACTGAATACAGAAAACAGAGTTATGCATGCTACACTCATGACTCACCTCAAAAACTGGCAGTGTCAGGTTGAAAGGCGCCTCTTTGAAGTCAGTGAACGGCGTTCCATTTTCACTTATGATTGTCAAATCGACGATCAGACTACCGAATCGAGCAGGTTGCTTGGAGTCGCTTTTGAGGAGAGGGGCTGAGGTACTCTCCAGTGATGTGTACACGGCCATGATAACAACAGCTATACGAGGAAATATGAAATTGTTTCAATTGGTTTAGGCCCTATGTCGGTACGAATGCCGGATTTTCGTGTTTTTAAGGGATTTTTGCCAACAGACACAGAAAGCTGCCATGCTGCTGGGCTGCTGCATTGCTTGTCGCTGATATTGCACTTGAGCGTTTCTCTTGTTGCCGCTGCCTCCTCTTACATTGTTAGTGTTGGTGATGATGCTGACGCTGTTGATGTTGCTATAAAATGTCATCGCGGGTGTTGAAGCAGCTGCTGCTATTGTTGTTACTGCTGCTGTCACTGGCACTGGTCTTGCTCATGCTGCTTGTATTGGTGTTGCACTGCTACTGCTGCTATTTCTGCTGTTGAAGCTGCCACTGCAAGGCCTACCAATCTCCGTTTGGCACTGCTGCATCTAATACTGCTGTTGCTGCTGTTGCTATTACCTGCTGCTAGCTGCCTCTAATGTTTTTGTGCATGCTGATGTTTCGTTGCATTTGTTTTTGCTGCTTAAGTAGTATTGCTTTGATTGCTGCTGATGCTGCTGCTATTGTCGCGGCGTTGCTGCTACTGTTGTTGGATCTGCTCAAATGGATATTGCTGCTATAGTGCTGCTGCAAATGCTGTCGCTAATGCTCAAGCATACAACATGTAAGTTGTTGTTACTGCTGCTTCTGGTGCTGCTTTTGATGCTCTTGTTTGTTCTAGCTTCTACTTCTAGTGTTATTAGTGCTGATTGTGTATAATTTTAACGCAACAACTTCAACTTCTCACCTGTCGTGTTTGATAGTAGTCTCGTTCTTGGTATGTTTGCCGAAAACATTCTCCCTCCTACAATTGTATTCACTTCCTTTTGAGTTTCCTCGTCAGCTGCCCATGGGATAATAGTTGTCTCTGTCGAAAGGAGGGAAAAAAGAACAGTTTCGTTGAACATGATTTTACCGAAACGCTTACGGTATGAAGAACCGATGCATATATTACTTTGACAGGAAATCATGATGATGAAAAGGGTACACGTCATTTTTGCTTAGATGAAAAGCGCCACATTTTCTCAAAGGCTAAATGTTGTTTGTGTCCTTAAACAAAGTTTGTTGTCGTAACCATTTTGCATCCAGAGACATATAGGCCTAAGATAGTGCTCTCTTAACAATGTAAACGAGTCAAAATCCACTAAAGAGTCGTATATGGGGGAACATTTTTTTGAGTGTTTTTCCTACTCTTTTAGAGTACAGTTTGCATATTTCTTTGGCCCAAAGTGAAAACCACTCTTAAAGAGTGAATTAACTTCCACTTCATTTAAAGAGCCATATGGGGGACAATCTCGAGTGGTTTTTCACTCTTTTACATTTAGAGAGTGTGCAGGCCCGAATGCACGGGGGTCCGGGATGGTCGATGAGAACAAACCAAAACTCAACATGGCTAACTGTCACTGTTAACATGAAGATCAACTTTTACTGACCCACATTAGAGTTCCATGCCTAGTATACGCTCCTCTAGATTTCTAGCAGTTGCGGCATTGATTGTACACATTTTAGTTAAATAGGTCCACATTTTCTTAGGAAGGACCATCCTTAGTTAAGAATAAACACTCTAACACGAGGCTGGCTATTGGTCTGGTGTGCATTTTCGAGGCTTACCCTTGTCGTCTGCCGCATAGGTTCTTGCGCCGTCACTAATGCCATTTTCACAATCAACACTGAGAAAACTGTCAAGGCGAATTTCTTCGTTGTTCGTCCAACCTGAAATAAAAAGAGATAATAATAATTTTGGGATCTTCCTGCACACTCACCGGTCCGATCATTTTGTTGTGTTAAATTCCGCCGTGCTAGTCTCACCACTACATTCGCCCAAAAAAATAATTTCGCCACTATCTCCTTCCCTGATGTGATCAGCACGAGGCCCTCCAATGCCACTATACCATAACAATGAAACTTACTGACGATCACACTGCATCATGGTTATGACCAAACTGGCAAAATTTATGCCCAGATATATGGCTGTAGTGAACCAGTTAAGCATTAAATCATTTTTTTTCTTCAGTATTTTTCCAAAAAGTAACTGAATATTGACTTGCCTATTATTGCATAGAATCTAACAAATACATTGTGTATATAACATTCAGCTTTTAAACTTTAAGAAATTAAAAAAAGAAATAAATAAATTCACTCTTCATTGTGGTTAACCAATATAAGCAGGCTCATAATATTCATAATTCATGAGAAATAAAACTGGTATCTTAAAAGGGTTTCCCCAAAACTTTCTTGTTTCTTAGAAGCCTTAAATATTGATATATTTTTTTAATAATTATATTTTAAATTACCAATGCAACAATGTGTGAAAACGTGATCACTAAATTGTTAATATACAATAAGGAGGAATCATGTGAAAGTTTTAACTGGTCCACGGCCAAATAGTTTTGTGCACAAATTGCCTGGTTTGTTTGTTATCCAAACCCAATATATGCATTACGAATATCGAAAAGGTGTACTCCAAAAGGTCTCATTAAACAAAAATGGAAACAGTTTGCACAAAACCAGTCAAGTTATTTCATATTCAGTTTACCTGGCAATGTGATGCTTAATGACTCGTTAGCCGGATTCACCGGTGCGTTAGCCGTGCAGATGAAAGTGGAACCGCCGTATCCTCGTTGAAGGTAATCGGAGATCGTCAAGTTAGACGTCAGGACACACGACGACACGTAGTGGTTGTGGATGCGAACGCTGTCAGAGTCAAATCCGTCAGTAAGTAACCATTCTCGTCTGCATCTAGGCTGTTGCACTTTCCATTGAATGGATGGCCCATTGGCGTAACTTGCCGTGCACTGCAGTTTCAGATCCACACTATCGGTACGCATGTCGAGTCGACGCACTTTGAGATTCCAATCTGTGTGAATGAAGCATCCCGGACCAAGAAAAGATTCTATATTAACACTTCTTGTTTCATGGAAAGAAAATCAAAGGACTTGTTTGAAATGCAAGCAACATGATCAAACGGCAAGGTTTGGACCTAGGGAGTTGCTCACCACTTCCCATGTAAAATATTTGCATAATGACAAACAAAGTTTAATGAATAACATTTGCATAACGTTCGTAGATTTTCGTCCAATGGATTTCTTTTCGGGGCCCGAAACGCGAAGCAACTGATACCATAATTCTACCTGGCATTTTTCTGGACTGGGCGTCTTTAAAAAAGAGGTACAAGACCAAAATCAGAAACAGAAAACACTAGGACCTTTTTGTATTGAATTAGAAATGTGAGTTGAGAATTACATTTTCGCAAAACAACTTTCGGACAAGTTTCCTTTAGTAGGTGCAGGACATTTCATAATGGTTGGGCAATAGACAACATTATTACGCCATCGGTCCCACTTCTTGTCATTTTCTGTCCGATTTCGAATGTACATTTCAAAGCAAATGTCAATACTGCATTTTACCATATGTGGAAATGCAACTTAGGTTTAAATTGAATAAATGATTGGGAATGACAAAAAAAACACGCATTGAAATATTGTATTATTATTTCATTGAAATGAGAAAACACTACAAAGAGGTGAAATCTTTGAAGTAGATTCAACACGTAAATGGAATATATTAGGGCGGATTAAAAAAAAGTATGAGACAAGATTTTTAATTGACAAACACCGGCATAAATATAATGTTGTCATCATGATAATATTAAAAAGTACGAGAAAACGATTTCGATAATTAATAATACTGTAAGCGCTGTGATTTAGTTTACCAATAAGAACGTTCTTAATGCCGATTATTATTATTACAAGTGGCGACCATTTAATGTTTGTTAGGCATATGAACTGACCACATATATCTTATGCGTTCAGGCGGAGTTGGAGGGCAATCGTTTGTATCGCCTGGATAGGCATGAGTAACCCTGTTATGCACCCATTGTTACTAAATCAAAATAAGGCCAAAAAAATTAATACTCGGTCTCTGGTCAGCGCGCGCGTCGATTTTAATCATGCGCGTCAATTTTTTTTTTTCAAATTAACACGGAAGCTACAACAGCGCCGTCTATTGCCGCGCCTCCTCAAATTGTTGTACCAAGGAGCAACAAGGAATGTGGAAATTGCACCAAGGCAAATAATAAAGGGCACCAAGGCAAATTATGGAGGACACCAATGTATAATGAGGACACAAAAAACCAAAATAGTACCCACCTTGTCTGTACAATACAAGCTTGAAAAAAAAGCCATCAAAAAAAAAAAAAAAAACAAGCGTCGCCGCATCGATTCCGGAACTTCGGTCTGACCAGAGACCAACTATCTTTTTTTTAGCCTATCAAGCAACGCCCTCTCAGGCAGCCGCAACGCATAACGTCTATTTGTACATGCGAAGCTGTGAATAAGACTCACCCATTGATCCACAAGAGAATACGTTGTTAATGTCAGTGTCGTTTAAGATGTCGTCTACCACAAGCAGGTTGCTGTATGCAACACGGAGCGATCCATCTCTGGACTCGTTACCGTATGCGACATCAGATCCATTACTGGACGTGTAACTGTGACATGTAAGAAGCAAATGGCTCTCGAATTCCGGGTACAAATCAGGTGAAAAAGTTTGGTTCCAAAAACAACGATCACATTGGTGCACGTTCACAGACCTGTTCACGCCATTGACATACACTTGAGCAAACTGCATGCCAACCATTCCTGTTTTCAGTTTTGAAAAATCTAAAACACTTGCAAAGTGGATCCAAGTTCCCGTGAGGCCTGTTTCGCCAGAGGGTAGGTCTATAGTCAAAACCAGGTTGTCTTCGCCGCTTTGAACCAAAACCCGTAAATATCCCGGTATGGCAAACATGCTGAAGCGAGGCATCGTGCTTGAAATGTGTTCTCCAACAACGCCGACGGTGATCGGATTAACCCACCGTGCGACATTCGACATTCGGAACCAGACAGACAATGTCCAACCGCTTCCACTGCTCTTCCCAAGATCGTAGACCGAGGTGCCCTCGACTTTGCCGAGATCGATAAAATCAGAAGTCTGGTCACACCTAATCTCAACGGCACACGACTCTTGTACAACCTCCGGGCCGGGTATCATTTCAGCC